TGTACCCAATTGTTAGGTGACCCAAGAGGCGGCACACAGGACATAAGTGGTCCCCCTAGTCATGTACCCAATTGTTAGGTGACCCAAGAGGCAGCACACAGACATAAGTGGTCTCCTAGACATGTACCCAATTGTTAGGTGACCCAAGAGGCGGCACACAGGACATAAGTGGTCCCCTAGTCATGTACCCAATTGTTAGGTGACCCAAGAGACAGCACACAGGACATAAGTGGTCCCCCTAGTCATGTACCCAATTGTTAGGTCACCCAAGAGGCAGCACACAGGACATAAGTGGTCCCCTAGTCATGTACCCAATTGTTAGGTGACCCAAGAGGCAGCACACGGACATAAGTGGTCCCCCTAGTCATGTACCCAATTGTTAGGTGACCCAAGAGGCAGCACACGGGACATAAGTGGTCCACTAGTCATGTACCCAATTGTTAAGAACATAAGAACATAAGAACAAAGTAACTGCAGAAGGCCTATTGGCCCATACGAGGCAGCTCCTATTCTATAACCACCCAATCCCACTCATATACTTGTCCAACCCGTGCTTGAAACAATCGAGGGACCCCACCTCCACAATGTTACGCGGCAATTGGTTCCACAAATCAACAACCCTGTTACTGAACCAGTATTTACCCAAGTCTTTCCTAAATCTAAACTTATCCAATTTATATCCATTGTTTCGTGTTCTGTCCTGTGTTGATACTTTTAATACCCTATTAATATCCCCCCGGTTATGTCCATTCATCCACTTGTAAACCTCTATCATGTCACCCCTAACTCTTCGCCTTTCCAGTGAATGCAACTTAAGCTTTGTTAGTCTTTCTTCATATGAAAGATTTCTAATTTGGGGAATTAACTTAGTCATCCTACGCTGGACACGTTCAAGTGAATTTATATCCATTCTATAATATGGCGACCAAAACTGAACTGCATAATCTAAATGGGGCCTAACTAGAGCAAGATATAGCTTGAGAACCACACCAGGTGTCTTGTTACTAACGCTGCGATTAATAAATCCAAGTGTCCGATTTGCCTTATTACGAACATTTATGCATTGATCCTTTTGTTTTAAATTCTTACTAATCATAACTCCCAGATCCCTTTCGCAATCCGACTTCGCAATCACAACACCATCTAGCTCGTATCTTGTAACTCTATCATCATTACCTAACCTCAGAACTTTACATTTATCAGCATTAAACTGCATCTGCCAATCCTTTGACCATTTCAAAACCCTATCTAGATCAACATGAAGTGATAGTGAGTCCTCCTCCGAATTAATTTCCCTACCGATTTTCGTATCATCGGCAAATTTGCAAATGTTGCTACTCAAACCTGAATCTACATAAGAACATAAGAACAAAGGTAACTGCAGAAGGCCTATTGGCCCATACGAGGCAGCTCCTATTCTATAACCACCCAATCCCACTCATATACTTGTCCAACCCGTGCTTGAAACAATCGAGGGACCCCACCTCCACAATGTTACGCGGCAATTGGTTCCACAAATCAACAACCCTGTTACTGAACCAGTATTTACCCAAGTCTTTCCTAAATCTAAACTTATCCAATTTATACCCATTGTTTCGTGTTCTGTCCTGTGTTGATACTTTTAATACCCTATTAATATCCCCCCGGTTATGTCCATTCATCCACTTGTAAACCTCTATCATGTCACCCCTAACTCTTCGCCTTTCCAGTGAATGCAACTTAAGCTTTGTTAATCTTTCTTCATATGAAAGATTTCTAATTTGGGGAATTAACTTAGTCATCCTACGCTGGACACGTTCAAGTGAATTTATATCCATTCTATAATATGGCGACCAAAACTGAACTGCATAATCTAAATGGGGCCTAACTAGAGCAAGATATAGCTTGAGAACCACACCAGGTGTCTTGTTACTAACGCTGCGATTAATAAATCCAAGTGTCCGATTTGCCTTATTACGAACATTTATGCATTGATCCTTTTGTTTTAAATTCTTACTAATCATAACTCCCAGATCCCTTTCGCAATCTGACTTCGCAATCACAACACCATCTAGCTCGTATCTTGTAACTCTATCATCATTACCTAACCTCAGAACTTTACATTTATCAGCATTAAACTGCATCTGCCAATCCTTTGACCATTTCAAAACCAAATTTCAAAAATGATTTAGATTTCAAATCTAAATCATTTATATATATTATAAACAACAGAGGTCCCAGGACAGAGCCTTGAGGCACTCCACTTACAACATTTTCCCACTCTGACTTGATTCCATTTATACTACCTCTCTGTTTCCTTTGGTATAGCCATGCCCTAATCCAGCTTAATATAGCACCCCCAATACCATGAGACTCTATTTTTTTAATCAGTCTTTCATGTGGCACTGTATCAAAAGCTTTGCTAAAGTCAAGGTATACAACATCGCAATCCTTACCACTATCAACTGCCTCAACAATGCTAGAATAAAAAGATAACAAATTTGTTAAACATGAACGGCCATTTATAAAACCATGTTGCGACTCAATTATTAATTTATGTTTTTCAAGATGAAGACGAATTTTATTTGCTATTATAGATTCGAGTAACTTTCCCACAATAGACGTTAGGCTAATTGGTCGATAGTTAGACGCAAGTGATCTATCTCCTTTCTTAAAAACTGGTATCACATTAGCAACTTTCCAAAACTCTGGCACTCTGCCTGACTCTATTGATTTATTAAATATGGTTGACAGTGGGTCACAAAGCTCCTCTTTGCATTCTTTAAGCACCCTAGCAAACACTTCATCCGGCCCTGGGGATTTGTTTGGTTTGAGTTTTACTATTTGTTTAAGAACATCCTCCCTGGTAACTGCTAAACTCGTCAACCTGTCCTCGTCCCCACCCACATAGACTTGTTCGGCTGAAGGCATATTGTTAAGTTCCTCTTTAGTAAATACAGGTGGTGACCCAAGAGGCAGCACACGGACATAAGTGGTCCCCCTAGTCATGTACCCAATTGTTAGGTGACCCAAGAGGCAGCACACGGGACATAAGTGGTCCACTAGTCATGTACCCAATTGTTAGGTGACCCAAGAGGCAGCACACGGACATAAGTGGTCCCCTAGTCATGTACCCAATTGTTAGGTGACCCAAGAGGCAGCACACGGGACATAAATGGTCCCCCTAGTCATGTACCCAATTGTTAGGTGACCCAAGAGGCAGCACACGGGACATAAGTGGTCCCCTAGTCATGTACCCAATTGTTAGGTGACCCAAGAGGCAGCACACAGGACATAAGTGGTCCCCCTAGTCATGTACCCAATTGTTAGGTGACCCAAGAGGCAGCACACGGGGACATAAGTGGTCCCTAGTCATGTACCCAATTGTTAGGTGACCCAAGAGGTAGCACACGGACATAAGTGGTCCACTAGTCATGTACCCAATTGTTAGGTGACCCAAGAGGCGGCACACAGGACATAAGTGGTCCACTAGTCATGTACCCAATTGTTAGGTCACCCAAGAGGTAGCACACGGACATAAGTGGTCCACTAGTCATGTACCCAATTGTTAGGTCACCCAAGAGGTAGCACACGGACATAAGTGGTCCACTAGTCATGTACCCAATTGTTAGGTGACCCAAGAGGCAGCACACGGACATAAGTGGTCCACTAGTCATGTACCCAATTGTTAGGTCACCCAAGAGGCAGCACACGGGACATAGGTGGTCCACTAGTCATGTACCCAATTGTTAGGTGACCCAAGAGGCAGCACACAGGACATAAGTGGTCCACTAGTCATGTACCCAATTGTTAGGTGACCCAAGAGGTAGCACACGGACATAAGTGGTCCACTAGTCATGTACCCAATTGTTAGGTGACCCAAGAGGCGGCACACACGGACATAAGTGGTCCACTAGTCATGTACCCAATTGTTAGGTCACCCAAGAGGCAGCACACACGGACATAAGTGGTCCACTAGTCATGTACCCAATTGTTAGGTCACCCAAGAGGCAGCACACACGGACATAAGTGGTCCACTAGTCATGTACCCAATTGTTAGGTCACCCAAGAGGCAGCACACACGGACATAAGTGGTCCACTAGTCATGTACCCAATTGTTAGGTGACCCAAGAGGCGGCACACAGGACATAAGTGGTCCCCCTAGTCATGTACCCAATTGTTAGGTGACCCAAGAGGCAGCACACACGGACATAAGTGGTCCCTAGTCATGTACCCAATTGTTAGGTCACCCAAGAGGCAGCACACACGGACATAAGTGGTCCCTAGTCATGTACCCAATTGTTAGGTCACCCAAGAGGCAGCACACAGGACATAAGTGGTCCACTAGTCATGTACCCAATTGTTAGGTGACCCAAGAGGCGGCACACAGGACATAAGTGGTCCCCCTAGTCATGTACCCAATTGTTAGGTGACCCAAGAGGCAGCACACGGGACATAAGTGGTCCCCCTAGTCATGTACCCAATTGTTAGGTGACCCAAGAGGCAGCACACGGGACATAAGTGGTCCCCCTAGTCATGTACCCAATTCCCTCTCCAAGGATTTGTAGTGTTATAATTTATATTGTTCTCACCCAAATTAATTCCCATCCCCTTTTCTTTTTCCTATTTCAATTCCAAACTTTCTCATTAATGTTTCCTGGTTTAAGATTTTTCTGATTCCTTCCAAGTATTGCCAATGTTGCATCACTATCCTGGACACGTGTAATCTTTATTGATTTGTTCTATAACATTTTTAATGAGTTGTTCTTCAGTATCTTCAGTGACTTGTTCATCTTCAGTGAGCTTCTGTTCTTTAACTTTTCCTTTTAGTTGTTCTTCAACATCTTCAGTGAAGATGTTGAACAACAACTCACTGTTCAACCTCTTCAACCAGTCATTGTTGTCCAACAGGTATTGCGTGATGGTAGTGTACAGGATCGTGCTCGACTGACCACACCTTGGCCACTAAGTATCTGTCCCTCCAAACTAAACCTCTTCAACGAGTCATTGTTGTCCAACAGGTATTGCGTGATGGTAGTGTACAGGATCGTGCTCGACTGACCACACCTTGGCCACTAAGTATCTGTCCCTCCAAACTAAAGGATGCTGGTTTGGGTGTTTGGACCAATGCTGAACTTACCCCTCGTCTTGTGTTTGGTCCGTATGAAGGTCGCATCCTCAACAATGTACAGGAAGGTCACGAGTCTGGTTATGGTTGGCAGGTAAGAATCTCTTTATAATGACTAAACTATACATCAGAAGAAGGAGAAATGACGATGTTTTGGTCTGTCGGTGACCATCATCAAGTCTTATGTGACATAGGACTTGATAATGTCGGTGACCATCATCAAGTCTTATGTGACATAGGACTTGATAATGGTCCAGGTCAGACTGATAAGTCATTGTTTCGCCATCTTCTGATGTGTGATTTGGTCAACTTATCTTCAACCACATTATTGTAGACTCCGAAATTGTTTATAGTTTGTACTGGGAGGTTTTCTTTATAAAATATGAATAATATGTTCTGTTTCTACACCACAATCATGAGTTTTCTTGTGACTTATTCAATTATTTATAGTTTATTATATCAGTTGAAATTTGTGTTTGTTTGCATGCCAAAACTAGAATATAGAAGAAAAAGAGTGATATTACAACCTCTTTTTCTTCTATTTGATATTACAGGTGATAATATCACCACTTACAAAATACTAACAGGAATCAACCAAATTGACAAAGTGGAATTCCTGAAACCACCAACTTCACAAACAAGGAAACAAAGGTGCCAAAAAATATTAGAAAGTTTTCATTTGCAGAGTGGTAGATGGTTAGAACAAGTTATAAGTGGTGGTGGAGGCCAAAATTGTCAGTAGCTTCAAAGCGTTATATGACAAAGAGTACTGGGAAGACGGGACACCACGAGCATAGCTCTCATCCTGTAACTACACTTAGGTAATTACACACCTTCTCTGTCTCCACTGTCACACACCTGGACAAAATAAGGTTATGAACCACCACTTGGCAAATAGAATTTAATGTGAATAAATGCCATGTTATGGAATGTGGAATATTAGAACATAGACATAGAACACAACCTATAAATTATGTGAGAAATCTTTTAAGAATTCTGATAAAGAAAGAGATCTATGGGTGGTTCTAGATAGAACTATCACCTGAGGACCACATAAAGAACATCGTGTGAGAAGTCTATGCTACACTTTCTAATTTCAGAATTGATTTTAAAAACATAAATGGTGAAATACTGAAGAAATTGTTCACGACTTTTGTTAGGCCAAAGCTAGAATATGCAGCGGTTGTGTGGTGCCCATTTCTTAAGCAGCACATCAACAAACTGGAAAAGGTGCAAAGACATGCCACTAAGTGGCTCCCAGAACTGAAGGGCAAGAGCTACGAGGAGAGGTTAGAGGATTAAATATGCCAAAACTAGAAGGTAGAAGAAAGAGGCGATATGATCACTATGTATAAAATTGTAACGAGAATCGATAAAATTGATAGGGAAGAATTCCTGAGAGCTGGAACTTCAAGAACAAGAGGTCATAGATTTAAACTAACTAAAGCTGCCGAAGAAATATAAGAAAATTCACTTTCACAAACAGAGTGATAGACGGTTGGAACAAGTTAAGTGAGAAGGTGGTGGAGGCCAAGACCGTCAGTAGTTTCAAAGAGTTATATGACAAAGAGTGTTGGGAAGACGGGACACCACGAGCGTAGCTCTCATCCTGTACCAACACTTGAGTAATTACTTAGGGAAACACAAAAATGGGGAAAGGGGGCTGTTCCGTCAATACTGGAGTTCCAGGACAGAAGAAGAGATATTCGACACCCAGCACCTTCCACCCGTGGGGAAGAGTGATCATGTCCACTTGGATATTAAATATGCGTTCTGATATAATCTAAAAGAGAACGGGGGACGTTGAAACACTTGATAAACTTTATTTCAAGAGAGTACACTTTGGGGAACTTCAACACAATTTTAATGACTTTAATTGGACAGACTTGTTGCTAGGCAAGGAAGTTATTTACCTGAATTTACCTGACGAGGACAGGAAGCCAGTGGCTTGTCAAATTTGCCCTGATGATCTTTTCCAGCTGTATTTAAAACCCAGCAGATTTTTGGCGTTTACAGCTTCGGAGGGTAGGCGGTTCCAGGTGTTCACAAACCTATGGGTGAAAAAGATTCTCCTGTTTTCTGTCCTACATTGTGGCTTCTTGAGCTTGAACCCGTTGCTCCTCGTTCATATTACATCTGAGCTTACGAAGAAATTGTCCCGATCAACATACTCTAAATTGTTCAGTATTTTAAAGGTTTCGATGAGATCCGGCCCGTCATGTCTGGTCTGTAGTGTTGTTAGCCCTGAGGCCCTCAACCGTTCCTGATATGAGAGATGACTTAGCTCTGGGATGATGTTTGTTGCCCGGTGTTGCACCTTCTCCAGAGCAGCTGTGTTTGTGAAGATGATGAGGTCTCCATGCCTGGGTGCAATAATCCAGGTGGTGGGGCGCACCAGAGACACCGCTCCAGAGAACAACTTTTCCTTGAAGGTAAAGGTACGCTGCATTATTCCCAGGGTTTGGTTCACTTTTGTACTGCCGCTCCCACTTGTTGTGCAACTTGTAGTGAATGATGGAGTCTGACTCCAGGGTCCTTTTCTTCATCTGTCTGTTGTAAGGTTGTGTTGTCAGTTTGGTAGTTGTGACGTGGACTGTTGTGCCCCACATGCAAGGTCTGGCATTTATTGTTTGGTAGTTGTGACGTAGACTGTTGTGCTCCACATGCAAGGTCTGGCATTTATTGTTTGGTAGTTGTGACGTGGACTGTTGTGCCCCACATGCAAGGTCTGGCATTTATTGTTTGGTAGTTGTGACGTGGACTGTTGTGCTCCACATGCAAGGTCTGGCATTTATTGTTTGGTAGTTGTGACGTGGACTGTTGTGTCCCACATGCAAGGTCTGGCATTTATTGTTTGGTAGTTGTGACGTAGACTGTTGTGCTCCACATGCAAGGTCTGGCATTTATTGTTTGGTAGTTGTGACGTAGACTGTTGTGCTCCACATGCAAGGTCTGGCATTTATTGTTTGGTAGTTGTGACGTAGACTGTTGTGTCCCACATGCAAGGTCTGGCATTTATTGTTTGGTAGTTGTGACGTGGACTGTTGTGTCCCACATGCAAGGTCTGGCATTTATTGTTTGGTAGTTGTGACGTGGACTGTTGTGCCCCACATGCAAGGTCTGGCATTTATTGTTTGGTAGTTGTGACGTAGACTGTTGTGCTCCACATGCAAGGTCTGGCATTTATTGTTTGGTAGTTGTGACGTAGACTGTTGTGCCCCACATGCAAGGTCTGGCATTTATTGACATTAAAAAGCATTTGTCAGTCATCTGACCACTTGTGGAGTTCATGCAGATCTCTTTGTAAGGTCTCAATATCACCTTCACTTCCCACTTTACTTACCGAGATGTATGCCAAATTTTGTGAAACATATGACAAAGGCCCACAAACATTCATACAAAAAAAAATAAGATGCAGGACCAGAAAACAAGATTGGTTCACTAAAATTGTGAGTGGGCCAAAGACGAAAAGACAACAAAATGGGTTCAATGTAAGGGCAAGAAAGCTTAAAGGCCGTACCCAAGAGTACGGCTCACAAAACCCGTCCTTACTTTCTTATAGTATTGCAATGTTACTTTAAACCAGGGTTGTAGAACCCATATGCCTTTATAAACACTTAAAACACAAGAGTGACCACGTGGGACTGGTATCACATTTTGTAATTGGCGGGACTCAACAAACAATCAAAGTGTGTACATTACATCTATTAAAACACAGGAAATGGGATAATACACTAAGAATAATTACTCACTCACCCAATTAACGATTACAGTTCAAGTCACTTGAACAATATGGAGGTCAATAACCTCACACAGTGAGGGGCACCTCACTAGCTCTCACCACACAACCTGTGTGTGTGTGTGTAATTACATAAGTGTAGTTACAGGATGAGAGCTACGCTCGTGGTGTCCCGTCTTCCCAGCACTCTTTGTCATATAACGCTTTGAAACTACTGACGGTCTTGGCCTCCACCACCTTCTCCCCTAACTTGTACCAACCGTCTACCACTCTGTTTGCGAAAGTGAATTTTCTTATAATTCTTCGGCATCTGTGTTTAGCTAGTTTAAATCTATGACCTCTTGTTCTTAAAGTTCCAGGTCTCAGGAAATCTTCCCTATCGTTTTTATCAATTCCTGTTACTATTTTGTATGTAGTGATCATATCACCTCTTTTTCTTCTGTCTTCTAGTTTTGCCATATTTAATGCCTCTATCCTTTCCTTGTAGCTCTTGCCCTTCAGTTCTAGGAGCCACTTAGTAGCATGTCTTTGCACCTTTTCCAGTTTGTTGATGTGCTTCTTAAGATATGGGCACCACACAACCGCTGCATATTCTAGCTTTGGCCTAACAAAAGTCGTGAACAAATTATTTAGTATTTCGTCATCCATGTATTTAAAAGCAATTCTGAAGTTAGAAAGCGTGGCATAGGCTCCTTGCACAATATTCTTTATATGGTCCTCAGGTGATAGTTTTCTATCTAGAACCACTCCTAGATCTCTTTCCTTATTAGAATTCTTTAAAGATTTCTCACATAATTTATAGGTTGTGTGGGGTCTATGTTCTCCTATTCCACGTTCCATAACATGGCACTTATTCACATTAAATTCCATTTGCCAAGTGGTGCTCCATATACTTATTTTGTCCAGGTCTTCTTGAAGGGCATGACAGTCATCTAAGTTTCTCATTCTTCCTATTATCTTAGCATCATCAGCAAACATGTTCATATAATTCTGTATACCAACTGGTAGATCATTTATGTACACAATAAACATCACTGGTGCAAGAACTGAACCCTGTGGTACTCCACTTGTAACATTTCTCCAGTCCGATACATTGCCTCTGATTACTGCCCTCATTCTTCTATCAGTCAGAAAATTTTTCATCCATGTTAGAAGCTTACCTGTCACCCCCCCAATATTTTCCAGCTTCCAGAACAACCTCTTATGTGGAACTCTGTCGAAAGTCATTTTTAGGTCCAGATAGATGCAGTCAATCCAACCATCTCTTTCCTGTAATATCTCTGTGGCTCGATCATAGAAACTGAGTAAATTCGATACACAGGATCTTCCAGATCGAAAACCATACTGTCTGTCTG